AACCCTCGGCGGGAGCGCCGCCACGCTTCCAAAGCGGCGCACTGTAGCAGTGCGCCACCGGGCCGGCCCATAAAAGATATTTTTACCTTTATTTATTACTTCTCCAATGCACTTCCTTTCTTTATATAGGTCCAACTTTCCTATCTATATAATTTTTCTTATGCCTGAACATTTCTTTCAGAGCAAGTCTGTTGGCATTGAATTCCCTCAGAATTTTGTCTGTGAAAGTAATTTCTCTTTCACTTTCGAAGGATAATTTGTCTGGATATAGAATTGTGGGATGCCAGTTTTTTCTTTCAACACTTTAAAGATTTCATGTTACTCTCTTCTTGCTTACATGATTTCTCATGAGAAGTCTATTGTAACTTATGTCCTCATTCCTCAATAGGTCAAGTGTTTTTTCCTCTCAGTTCCTTCAAGATTTTCTCTTTGTTTTTGGTTGTCTGTAGTTTGAGTATGATATTCCCTGGCTTGTATTTTTGTTTTGCTTTGATATTTATCTTACTTTGTGTTCTCTGAACTTCTTATATCTGTGTTATAGTGTGTACCATTAATTTTGAAATGTTTTCAACCAGCATTACTACTACTATTTTTTCTATACCAGTCTCTATTCCATCATCTTGTTCTGGTATTCCAATTATGTGTATGTTACAATTTTTGATATTGTCCCACAATTCTTAGGTGACTGTTTTGGGGGTTTTGTTTGTTTGTTTTTCCCATTGTTTTTCTCTTTGTGTTTTAGTTTGGGAAGTTTCTATTGACCTCTCTTCAAATTAATGAATACCTTCCTTGGCCCTGTCAAGTATACTGATAAACCCATCTAAAATAGTCTTAATTTTTCTTGCTGTGCTTTTGACTGCTCATATTTCCTTTTGATTATTTCCTATAATTTTCATCTCTCTGCTGACATTACACTCTTTGCACATTATATGCTTTTTCCATTGACCTCTTAACATCTTAATTATAATTATTTTAAATTCCCTGTTCAGTAATTTTTAAATTTGTGTCATAGCTGAACCTGGGTGTGATGCTTGCTTAACCTCTTCAAAATATTTTTTCTTACCCTTTCGTGCCTTATGAGTTTTTGATGAATGTCATGTTGTATCAGGTAACAGATGCTGAGGTAACTAGACATTTAGCATAAGAATTTATGGGAATCACACTAGGGAGTTGTTTGTGTCTAGTATTTGTTGTAGCTACAGGTCAAAGCCTTCAAAATCATCTACAGTCCTTGCTTTTGTTTCCCCGCTTGACTCTGGAACTTCTCTTTGTTCTGCTCCTTAGAAAAAGCCTGTGTCTTGCAACTCTTTCAGCTGTAATCCAGTATTATTGGTATATTCCAATATTATTGGCCCATTAGTGGTGAGGTGTGGGGAAAGGTATGTATTTTATAATCTGGTTGACTCTCAGTCTTTTAGCTGATCTGTGTCTTAGAGGTCTGGTCTTCACACATATTTCTGTTCCTACTCCAAGGAAATGGGATTCTTACTCCTGTTTCCTATTCTCTTCCTTGGTTGAAGTGTTCCCAACATAATTCCTCAAAGCCCATCCACTGTTCTTTTTCTCCCCTAGGTAAGCAAGAAAGGCTGGTGCTAGGGCAGAATTCTCTTCCCCTAACTGGAATATAGTTTCAAAATTACCCTCCAGCAAATCCCCACCCCCAGAGTAGGTCTTTGTTAGGAAGAAGAGGCTGGAAGTGTTTCGAGGTGGCTATTGTTTTCCTCCTTTAGCCAGAGCCACTAGCATGTCTTTCTCAGAACATCACTGAGAGAATCTGATAGATGGAATAAAAGCCCATGTAAGTGTGGGCCCCATCTCTCCCATGACTGTGGTGCCTGATGAATTTCTTATTCTAGAACTAGGAAGCACAAAGCCTCCAGCAATTCATGAGAATAATGTGTTACATTTATGTGTTCCCCCAGCTTATGGTAACCGCATATTGGGAACTATATTTCTCTGGATTGCCTGTCTCTCCAGATTCAGGACGGCAGTTTGCCCTGTCATTTCAGTTCTGTGATGAGTCCAAGAAAAGTTGTTAATTTTCAATTTGGGCAATTTATTTATTATAAGACGGGAGTAATACATTTTAAACTCTGTATATGTTGGAGCTGAAACTAAAATTCCACCCCTAGAGATTTTTATTCAGTAGATGGGGGTCTAAAAATTTGGATTTCTAACAAATTCCCAGATAATATTGATGTTGCTGGTCTGGGAACCACACTTTGAGAATCACTGCTAGAAAGAAGAGGTTCTCAATCTTTACTGCACATTCCTTATTGCCTGGAAATCTTTTAAAATTTCTAATAATCAGGCATCATCTCAAAATAATTAAATCAGAACTCTGGATGTGTGACCTAGGCATCTCTCTCTCTCTCTCTGTGTGTGTGTGTGTATGTATGTGTATGTGTGTATATATATCTATCTATATATATATATATCTATCTATCTATATATATATATATATATATATATATATATATATATAATTTTTGGCAGCCAGCTGGTACGGGGATCCAAACCCTTGACCTTGGTGTTACAAGATTGCACTCTAACAATATTTTAAATACTAATTTAGAAAAGTGCCTATATATATATATATATATATATATATATATAATTTTTGGCAGCCGGCTGGTACGGGGATCCAAACCCTTGACCTTGGTGTTACAAGATTGCACTCTAACAATATTTTAAATACTAATTTAGAAAAGTGCCACACATTAGAATTATCTGGGAAATATTTAAACATATGTATATCCAAAAATATATTAGAGCAGGCTTATACACTAGTTTGCAAGAGCCAATTGTTAAATTTTCAGGAATGTTGTTAAACACAGTCATTATCCAAAATTAAATTACATACAATTGTAATTAAATAAATCATTAAAAACAAGGACAAAAATTGGTTAATACTCAACACTTTCTAATTATGTGATTAAATTTTACTATTATCTAAGCTCTTTCGGTTATTTATATCTATTGTATCTGCATGGTGGAAATGCTATATAATAGTGTGCTACTAAGCATCCATTCAGAAAGTTCATGTTGGGAGCTTGAAATCAGCTGTGGTTGAGAGTATTTATGCCATGGAAATTGGCAAATGCTACAATTCAGGGCTTCCTTTGCCACAGTGCAGACAGTGCAACATTTATCAGCATACCACTACTTATGCCTAAAATCTACTCCCAGATATTACAGTTCCGTTGGCCTGAAGTGAGACTCAACTATGGGAATTTTCAAAAGGCATACCAGATGATTTTGATGTACATTCAAGAATGAGAAACACTAATCTAAAAGAGAAGCCAGGTGGTAGAGGTGAATTGTTCAGGTGTGATTCAATTTAGAGACTGACTTTGTACTTAAAATTCACTAACACCTGGCAAGGATGATATAAACATTTATATTATTATTATAAGGTTCTAGAGGTGAATTTGTTTTACTTGTTTTTGATGCAGATAAGCAAAGAAAGGCTTTGAAACAAATCAGTACATAAAAATTTTAGTGCAAATCCATTGAAGGGTTTTTAAGCAGAGGAGGCTTGATTGTGTTTTTTAAAAGACTATTCTGGATCAGTTTGGAAAAACAGATTAGAGAGTGGCAAGAATATATGTAGGAAAAGCTGGGGGAGGTTATGACAATAATACAATCCTTCCTGCCTCCCTCTGAGAGAATAAGGTTCTCTCCTGCAGCAGACATTGCTGATTGGCTAAGTTTTTATTTCTAGCCCCTTCTCCCTTCTCTTGCCTCTTACCATTAATAGGGCCAGGGAAATCAAGTATTTAGCTTCCCAGCCTCCCTTAGCAGACATTGCTGATTGGCTAAGTTTTTATTTCTAGCCCCTTCTCCCTTCTCTTGCCTCTTTCCATTAATAGGGCCAGGGAAATCAAGTATTTAGCTTCCCAGCCTCCCTTGAAGAAGCTAAGGGTGGCCATTTGACACAGTTCTGGCACAATGAGATGAAAACAGAAATACAAACGGAGAAAGGCTTCTGGGAAAGCTTTTACTTTTCTGATAAATGAGGGAGATGTGACTGGTGCTATTGCCTTTCACTTTCTTACTGCCTTTAATGTGGATTAAATACCGAGAGCTGGGGAAGATATTTTGGGTCCATGAGGCAAGAAGAAAAGGTTTTGGAAAAGAGAATAGCAGAACTGCCAATCTAGAATCTGCCATAATTGAGCCACAAAATCAAAGCCAAAAGCTTTCTACCTCTTAACTTCTTCTAATGTGAGAAAAATATTTAAGTTCATGTTAGTAGGATATTCTGTTGTTAGCTATTCTGTTGATTCTTGTTAGAAGCATTCCTGTTACATCCTGTTAACACCATAAAGAAAAGTCCATGGAGCACCACTTTTCCAGCCATATCAGTATCTTCACTAATCCCTCATTATCTCAGAACAAAAGATATCTTTATTGCACTCCAAAGCAAGTACCCCTCAAATATGTAACCATTTCTCCCAGCACTTTTGATCATCCATCATCTCCTCATTTTTGTATCTTCATTTTCAAAATCCTTTGTATTACCTCATGTTTTACCCTTTGCCTATACTGGTCTTCCCCCATTTCTTCATCTGACAAATAAGTTATCATCTTTTAAAACCTAATTTAAAGTTCAATAATGTTCTTTGTGAAGCCTTTTTTTCACCTCAAAGGATTTAATCACTCTTTTTAAACTGTTCCCATCACATTCTGCATATGTCTTATTATGGAACTGCTTACAAATGTACCAGAATTATTTGTCTCCTGAGTTAGAAATTGAGTTCTAACAGAGTCAGTTGTTCCTCAGGATGATGGTTCAAAAGAGTAACCTTGGGAACTTAAAAAAATAGAAAGGGAGATACTTCCCTGGTAATTCCATACCAGCATTTGTAAATCATTATCATTCTTTTATTTCAAGTACCCAACAAATAATAAGCAGACAGGCTAAACAAATAATGAACTGTTACTGAAATAAAAGAGTACATTTTCATTACCTGTAAAACTAGCCAATCCTTCTCGTTTATAGGATGGTTCTTCTAGGTCCTCTGCTACTATTGATTCAGTTGTTGATGCACTTGACTTAGAAACTGAACTGCTTCCTAAAATTGACCTTTAATAATGAATAACAACATTACTCCTTAACTTAGATGTCCTTATGGGAAATTAAATATATAAATTAGAACATATGGTCAGATGGAGAAATCAAATATACTATATTCGTATAAGCAGAATAGATCAAAATAAATTAATTTTTAAATAATGAGTTTATTTTAATGTTAAATGAAAGGTCATTTAAAACAAATTTTAAAGGTTATACATGTCAAACTTATGCCTAAAGTCCTTCAATGGATTCCCAATACAGTTAGGATAAAAATCCAAACTAAAGCCTACCTATCACTCTTTCCTTAGCTCTTTTTTTTTTTTTTTTCCCCCCAGTTCTCCAATCTTATGGAGCTAGCTCTGTTACTTCAGGGCCTCAGCCTGGAGTAATCCTCTTTCATTTTTTTACCTGGTTTCTGCTAATTGTTCAAATGTCATCTTAAAAATATGATTTTTTAAAAAAGATCTGTGTATCAGCAGGAAATCCATGGAAGAATCCAAAAATAATTTTCTTAAACATATGAATAAAACATTACTTCATAATATTACATATTCCCCTCCCCTTCTTATTTATAGTCTCAATTGCCCACCAAAAGAGTGGGTCAAGTTTATTGAAATATTTGTTTTACCAAGCACTCCCATGTGTTTTGTATGCACATTTGGAGGCAGACTCTATAGCAGTACATAATTGCTCACCATTATAAAATAAGAGAGAAATCAAAGCCTAGGAGACGGGGATTTGCATGGGGGAATAGGAAAAAAAAAAGGAAAGCCATCCCTTCCTATAAAATGCAGCTTAAAAGAAGCTGAAAAACCTGGGGGGAAAAAAAAAGCCTAATGTGAATTTGCAATTAACTGTGTGTATGTGATGTAATCCCCATCTTTTGGTTCCTCAGGAAATCTTTTTTTTTTGGCCGGGACCGGCCACGGGATCGCAACCCTCGGTGTTGCTCCCGCCCCTCGCTCAGCCAGTGAGCGGCCGGTCTGTATGTGGGATCCGAACCCTCGGCGGGAGCGCCACCGCACTTCCCAATCGGCGCACTATAGCAGTGCACCACCGGGCCGGCCCCTCTCAGGAAATCTTGAGTAAAATCCATATGCTTTTCACAAATACTTTGGTATGAGTGTATGCGAAGTCTTACGATATGAAAAGCTCTGCATCTAATTAAAACAAAAGAGGAACATAGAGATGGCACACTAGGATAATAGATGGAAGCTGGGAGAATAGAGGCAATTGATATATAATTTACATATATCCAATTTATATGAAAAGACAATATATATGATATAAAAAAAGAATATAGAACAGTATACTCTACCTTGTAAACTGCCCTAATATGCTGGGATTTATTGTATTCTGATAAAGGCTATAGGAAGCTATAAATTCTGATCCAAAAGATCCTTCTTGCGATGTCAATAGTTTATTTGGTTTTGCTGTACCAATATGTGGATCTGGACGATAAAGAGGCCGGGGAGTAACATCAACTCCATTTATATCAAACACCTGTAGAAAATGGTTACTTAAAATGAAATAACTAAAAAAACAGTCTTTCTAAATAACAGGTCCTAAAAAAAATAGAAGTATAGTAGAAAAAAGATAAAGGTACTGTTCCTAGATAGGATAAACATGAAAAATTGGATAATGTAAAATTTTATGCTTAAAAATTTTCTTAACGAGGCACACATTTTTTAAAAATCTCATTTATGTTTTACCTATATATAAATAACACATTAATTTCAGGAAAATCAGAAAGGTAGAAAGATATTTCATCCAGATTGTTAATATTTCAGTGTATTTAATATTGTATTTGTAAGATTTTTTAAAACTCACTATTTTTCACTTAACTTTATATTAATAAACATTTCCCAAGTTGTTATACATTTCTTGGTTTATTTTCGACTCATTTTTAATCATATCAATTATAAAAATGAACACATACAAAAATGTAATTGAAACATAACTGTTTCATTAAAGAAAACAAAGCAAATGTTCTTGTAATCACCACTAAAGTAAAAATTAGAACATTCACAGCACCTCCAGAAGCTACTCCCTGGCCTTTGCCCCTTCTGGATCAGTCTTCTCCCTCCCCCCAGTCATAAAAATTAATTTGAAATTGGTAATTCTTTACTTTCTCCTTTTTATAGTTTCACTAAATATGTATCCCTAAACAATAGAGCTTACTTTTAAAAATTTGTTAAGAAGTAAAATATACATACAGAAAAGTACACATATACATTTAAAGCTTAATACATTTTCACAAAGTGAACATACACGTATACCCAGTGTTGACCTGAATGTTGATCCTAAGGCACTGATAGAGTATCAGAGAGTTCATTTGAGCCAATATGAGTGACTGCAGCCCAGGAAGATATAGATTCAAGAGGCCTTGAACCACGTGTTCTGATTTGCAGACACAGTATTTTTATAATCACAGAAAGGAGAAAAAAAGGGAAGAGAGGCAATAGCCCTTTAATCAGTGCATCAGTTTTTTTATTGGTTACATAGCATTACATAGGTTAGTGATTGGCCCTTGGTTCCATCCTATGCACAAATGTATGAGTAAGGGTCACAAGATACATTTTCAACATTCCTAAGTTAATACATAGCCTCTTCAGGCATCAGTGGGTCTGGTTTTAGGTTACAAATAGTCTTGTGGTAACAGTTCCAGAATGTGGGGCTGTTACTCTCACCCCATTTCAGATCCCTCAAGGCTTTTAGGAATTTAGGTAATGTCAGATTTCTGGTTTATTACCAGCATTCAGATTTTTTTTTCTTAATTTTTATTGAATCATAATTGACTATACATATTTTTCAAGTTCAACATTGAGATATGTTGATCAAATCAATATTACTAGCATATATATTATCCCCACTGTTCAGATATAACCACTGTTAACATTTTTCCTTTACTTCCAGTGTTTCATGAATACATTTACTGTTGTACAGAATTGGTATCATATTGCAAGTTACTGAATATTGCATTTTTTTTTCTTAATTTTTATTGAATCATAATTGACTATACATATTTTTCAAGTTCAACATTGAGATATGTTGATCAAATCAATATTACTAGCATATATATTATTACAAATCGTACTTATTCTTTATGCCCCTTGTCCAATCTTTCCCTGTCCCCCACTCCCTCCCCCAACCTCCTCTAATTACCCTAGATTTCTTCTCTCCTTCTGAAACAGTAATGATTACTCTGTTGATTTGTTGCCTAGATGATCTGTCCGATACTGAGAGGTGTGTTCAGGTCCCCCAATATTATCGTAGAGCATATGCTTCTTCTGTCACTCTATAATCGGCTTTGTAGAGTGAGACATTCTCTTCTTTGGTCTCTGCTGGTGACTCTCCTTGTGTCAATGCAGTCCAGTGGTTGGCAGACCATTTGTGTGGTGGTTGTGGTGTCTAGCCGCTTTTGCAGCAGCTGTGGTTATGGTGGCGGCTGTGGTAGGCTGCCCACACGGAGGTGATGTTTTTGGCATGCTCATTGGAGGTGGAGGTGTGTCTGGTTGTGGGAGGGAGGTCTGGTCCCTGGCTCTATACCTCAGGTCCCAGGGTTGGTCCAAGGCACTGGCATTGTGCCTGGGCTGGAACTAATTTTTTTTTGTCCTTTGCTTACTTCTAAAATAGGGGAACTTCCTGTAAGGACCAGTACTTGAGCTGTGTGGTTGAGATAAATTGCTGCTTTGCTGCTGCTTCCCTAGAGAAGGCTTTTTGTGCAGCTCAGGTTTTAATGGTTGACTTTACAGGTACTTCTGGCTCTCCAGAGACCCGGTGCACCTGGGTTGTATAGAAACTCTGATCCGAGCCAGAGTCTTTTCATCAAACTGCACCCTGTGCAATTCTATATTCCTGTTCAATCTCCTCTCAGTGGTCGTATGCTGATTGGGGTGCAGATCAGCTGTTCTTGCTGTGCCCCAGTGTTCCCTCAGTGGGCCTGTCTGCCCCACCGCCCATCCTCCAAACACTTCCCATGGGACGGGCCATGCTCCGGTCCCTTGCGATGACTCACTGGCCTCTGAGTGCCTCCTTTTGTTCAGTTGTTGCATCTCTTCATTCCTATGTGGGTCCACGGAAACCCTATTAGTGGTCTTGCTGCATTGGGGGCCACTAAGGCCCTCTTCTCCCCTGCCACCTCCAAGCAACTCAGTCCAAAGGGCACAGCTGTGGCTTTTGCCAGCTCCTCCTCCATGCGCTCCACAGCTCCATCCTTAAAGCGGTTGCGGAATGAAACACTCTGAGCAGTTTTTTCTTTCTCTCATTGTAGCTTCTCCCTCCTTCATGCCCTCCGTAGGTCTCTCCTCCTCTTCCCCTGAGCTCTAGCAGCCCCAACTTGGCTGTTGTTGCTTTTTTATAGTTGTATATTGGTTGATTTATGGGAGAGAGTGATGCTGGGGACCGTCTAGTCCACCATCTTGACCAGAAGCCTCTAGCATTCAGATTTAGAAACATAAAATTTACCAGCATCTCAGAAGTTCCTTTCATGAGAGTCTCTATCTTCCATCAAAGTTAACAATCTTCTTGACATCATATATTAGTTTTGCCTGTTTTGAACTTTATTTAGATGGAACTATACAGTTTATACCCTTTGATATCTGATTTCATTTGTCCAATATTATGTTTGAGAGATTCATTCATATTGTTGATTATAGTTGTAGATGGTTTATTCTCGTTGTACAGTATTTGTGTGAATATATACAATTTTATTCATCTAGTCTATTGTTCGGGGATATTTCTGTAGTTTCCAATTTTTTTGGCTGTTACAAGTGGTGCTGGTAGGAATATTGTTGCACATGTGTTTTGCTAAACATACTTTCTAAATTTCTGTTGGGTACATACCTAAGAGTGAGATTTCTGGGTAGTGGATTATGTACATGTTCATGTTTAAAAGATACTGCTAAAGAGTTTCCCAAGTGGTTCCCATTAGCAGTATATGAGAGTTCTGGTTGCTTCAGATTTTTGCCAACATTGGTGTTTCCCATGTCTGTCAATGAAATTCAGTTTTGCTTGATTCTAAAATTTGTATAAGCTCAGTTGGCTAGAATGCTATAACACCAAATGTTATAACACCAAGGTCAAGGAGTCACATCTCCATACCAGCCAGCCACCAAAACAAAACAAAATAAAATAAAATTTATATAAATAAAGTTATATATTCCTTCACATCTGGCATCTTACTTTCAACAATGTTTTTATTTTTCACCTTTAGTTTGTTCATTTATTGATGATTGTAAAGTAGTCCATTGAACCATATTTTATTTATCTATTTTACGTAGTAGATATTTGAATTATTTCCAGGTTTTGGCCACATTAAAATTGCTTTAATAAACATTTTGTGTAAAAATATGGTATACATAAGCATGCATTTGTGTAGGGGATATATAGATGTGAAATTGATGGGTCAATTTGATTAGCTAACACAAAACTGTTTTCCAAATTAGTGGTGAAAATTTTCAAAATTATAGGCAGTGTGTGACAGTTACTGTTGTTCCTTCCATATTTTCATCAACTGGCACAGTCAGATTTATATATTTAAGCCAGTCTGATATGAGTGTACAAGTATCTCATTTTTATTTTAATTTCTATAAAGTTGGAAATTTTCCTTTTCTTATATTTATTTCCATTTTGATTTCCTTTTGGAAGGGAGAATTTCCCTTTCAAGTCCTTTGCACACTTTTTTATTGGGATCTTTTTCTTATCGATAATGTAGTTCACTAAATATTCTGAATATAAATCCTTTCAGTTTTATAAGATGTAAACATCTTTCACTCTGTGGCTTCATTTTCTCTATGGTTTATTTGATGAATAGAAGTTCTTAGTCTAAATGCAATCAAATTTATCATGTTTTCTTTTACGATTTGTGCTTTAAATGTCTCATTTAAAAACACATTCCCAATCCTGTTGATGAATAGAAGTTCTTAGTCTAAATGCAATCAAATTTATCATGTTTTCTTTTACGATTTTTGCTTTAAATGTCTCATTTAAAAACACATTCCCAATCCTGAAGTCATATTTTCTGTATGTTGATTTTCATATTGAGGTCTATAATATACCTGAAATTGAGTTTTGTATATAGCATGAGGAAGGAAGCCAATATATTTTTATTCCATGAGAATACCCAATTGTCTTAACAAGAGTTTTTAAAAATCCTATCTTTTCCTCATTAGTCTGCATTGTGCATTTATTATAAAACAATTGCTTATATATGCTCAGGTTATTTGTAGGCTCTCTGTCTATTCTTTTGCTGATAATATTACACATTTTTGTTAAGTTTGGTATCTTGGAGAGCAAATCTTTTCATCAAGTTTTTATGCAAGAGTGTTTTGGCTACTTTTAGCCATTAGAATTTTTATATACATTTTAGAATTATCTTGACAAGTTTCTGAAAAAAATATAATAAAACGATTTTAAAGTTTTTATTTAAATTGCAAAGAATCTATAAATCAAACCTTGGAGATAATTGATATGCTTAATATTTACTCTTTCTAAGCATAAAC